GATTTTGAAACAGAAAATAATTGATTTCTTTGTTTTCTGCCACTGTGCTGTGTCATCCCTTCTTTCTAAAGTAATGAAAGCAGTGGTCGTAGCTGGTTGAATGAGCAAGGGTCACTGGGTACCGCGGCAAAATACAAAACAAACACACAAAGAGCCACTGGGTTAGTGCTTAAAAATATCCTCCTAACTCTAATGTTTCAACTCCGCGGTTTAGTAGAAGTTCAGGGAGAGCAGAGGACATAAATTAGTGAACCAAACCCGATTTGCAGATGACTAAAACCTGATCCTTTGGTATCCCTGAGAGATTTATAGGATGTGAAGTGTATCTGAGAGTTAAGAAACCAAAAGTGACTGAGGGAGCAAGTGAAAAAACATATTCAGAGAGGCTTAGCCAAGCTATAATTGTAGAGCGAGATGATACCTCATAATAAAATAGCATTAAAAATTGTAAAATGTGATCAACTGAACAATAACTGTCTTGCTTAATCTGCTTTGGAAATCTAGACTTTCATATTTAGGAGAAAATGGAATATTATCTAATATTATGTGAAAATGGACTTATTTTAATTTCAATGTTGGCTGAGTACCCAATACAGTAAATGTGCCATTTCAAAATTTGGGAAGGACATGCACGCAAACTGGTTTTGTGACTCTGACCCCTCCCCCACTGAGGGTGTAACAAGATGGAGAGCTAGAATTTTGGAGCAAACTGTGTGCTATGCTCTAAATCTCATCCTCTCCAAAAAAGGTATGAAGTGTGCTTGCCTCTTTCTTCAAGCACAGAAAGAGCAGCTTCCACCAGACCTCTTGGAGGGTTTAATATGTGTCTGCATTTTGGGGGACACAGTGAACAGGGGCCTGATTCACCCCTAGAAAATCTAAAGGGCAGGTTGCTCTCAGATTGGGGGTCATAGAGTATCTGGAATTTGTCAGGGCAGAGGAGCGACTATTTCCCATGAAGCAGATGTAAGCTGGGCCCCAGGGACAGCTGTCCAGGAGAGCCACTTGGAGGGTAAACTGACACCCGAAGGAGGTGAGCCTCTAGATTTCCAGTAGCTGAGGAAGGAGCCCTACAGCATTTGCCTGTGTTAAGGATACCTCAGATGCAAGATCCCCAGTAATTGTGGGGAAACCCTGGAAAACACTCCAGGAGAAAAAGAACATATTTTATTTTACTTTTGCATGTGTGCTTTCTCTTCTTTCTTTTTAAAAAAAAATTGAAGTGTAGTAGTATATACTTGAGTATATGTAGACTTACAACATTATGTTAGTTTCAGGAATGGAGCATACGCTCAGTAGTTGCCGTGGGCCCCTAAGCCATCTTTCAGCAGTACTAATCCAGTAAGGCCTTTCCTTTTCCTTCTCTTCCCTCCACCCTGACCTGGAGGAATCAGAAACTGCAGTTAGCAAGAAGGATAAAAGGGCAAGGAGGGAAGAGATATCTTCTCCCTCAGGCAGCTAGCTGGAAGCAGGCTGAGCCAGGAAAGTGAGGGAAGTTGTAACTTTGAATTATTGCACTGGACTGACTGAACATGTTAATTATTCCACGTTGTGTTTTGTGAGTTGAGTTGCTGACAAACTTCTTATTATCCAAAAGTAATCTGAAAGACATGGGATTTGCCCTAAATTTCTTTCAGGACGGGGAAGAGTTAACTTTACCAGAATAAGTTTAAAGTTTGGACAATGGTAGACAAAAATAAAGTTGCTTATAGCCCATGAATTTTGCTTATTCAGAATAGTTGTTACACATATTAAGGTTTCAAAGAGATATAAAATATCTATAGCCAACAAATGTTTTTGAGCTCTTAGTATGTCAGGCAATCCTGTTAGGTGCTAGGGCTAGAAATTACATAGAAGCACATCTCTTTATCTGCTGTTCATATTCTACATGCTGAAAATCATAAAATAACTATTCAGCACCCAGCATTTCGCTAGGGATAGTTTCTTCCTTGACGAAGATGAATTTTGTTTTTTAGTTTTGACCCTTACCCTGATTTATTACAAAGCTTGTGATTTGTAAGAAAAATTTGCGTTTGTTCAAGCTTAGAGACATGATAAAATGGAAAACTGAGTCAATAGCGGGATAATTTTTAGAGACGAAGCAATCAAAGCAATTGTAGGATTAGCTATTTGGTTTACATTGCACAGAATGCAAAGTCTGCTGAAGTTTACTTGTGTAGAAAGCCACATGCGCTGCCCAGAAAGTCACTCTGCATTGCCCGCATTTTATTCTTCTGAATAAGAAAGCACATCCACACACTGTGGGTCTCTCTTGCTTTCTCTCCCTCTCCCTCCTTCTACCCCATCTCCTCCTTTTCTCTCCCTCTTGCTCAACTCTCTTGCCTCCCCGCAAAATAAGCTTTTTAGACACATACTTATTTGAATCTTATTTACACGTTAGATTTCTGTGTTCCATGTCTAGAACGCTCGCATCTAGGAGGGAAAAATTGCAGAATCGGTGGCAAGCAAATAGCTCAGAATGTTCCCAGTATTGTGATTTGCTTTCAATCCCGTTGCAAGTTAGGCCCCCTTTAAGATTTTGTCTGGAAGCTGGTATGTGAAAGCTCACTGATTGAGTAGCACACAGTGGGAACCAAGAAAGTCCCTAAACGAGCTGTGTCTTAAGAAGCAGATCTGAAAGCATCTTATTGCTTTGTCAGTTTCCTGGGAGGGTGTTTCAAGCTTAGAAACTGTAGTCAATGTAAACATTTCCTGAGAAGTTAATTATTAGTATCTCCTGAAAGTGGAAGTACTGGCATCGTGTAAAAGAAAGGAGAATGTTCTGATTAAGTAGCTTGTCTAATAAATAATGAGGAGGAGCCACAAAGCAAAAAGTCTAGAAGGAGGGATAGTGATGGGAAGACGGAGTCCCTCTGTGATGTATCACTAACGAGAGTGCTGATTGCCAGGGTATCAACTTGGGGACATAATAGGAAAAGGAGATCCTGGGAGCTATAAGAAAGAATAAAATGGTCTAGCAGATGCTGCATGAAGTGCTGTATCTTTGACCTGTGACAAATTCACCCTCCAACAGCAAACAGAGGTCCAGGGAATCTTGTGTCCAAGGTGATTTTTCCTGTGTTTTGTTTAGTATTTAAATATTGGGCAGACCACTTAATCCAGGATAATCAGTAGGTTAGAACTGCTGCAAACTCCCTATTGTGCCAGTAGCTTTGTTAGCGTCCTTGAGGGATGACATGGGAGTGTAATCGGGGCGAGCTCAAGGGGAATTGTTTTGGGTGATTTGCATTCTGCACACTTCCCAGGTTTCTGTCCTCTCGCACAATAGTGAGCATTTCCCTCCAGAGGTGTGAAATGTGTATAATAACTGGTCCTCTTCATTTTAGATGTGATTCATCATGTCCAAGCCTCTTTAGTATTAAGAATATAATTTTATTGTGTTGACATTTTCCAGGGAGCAGCCCCAAACCCCCATTGGGAGGACAACAGGAGAGGGATATACCCAGATCCATCCTATCAGTTCGTTGTCTCCCCTTCAGCTAAATCCTTTGACCAGACCTAGGAAGTTGATATTTGAAAAGCCCAGTTTCCTGTAATTCTAATGGCCCCCAACTCAAGGATCACTTCAAATGTTTTTTGGAGTTCTGCAGCCTCTTTTACCTATTTTGAAAGTCTAATTTAAAAATCTAAATGGAAATCATTATCTATACATAATTATATAATACATTCCATTTGCTTTGGAGATCAAATTTTTTGAAACATCCAGTTTGAGGGAAAATAATAAAAGGGGTCTATGAGTTACAAGGTTGGTAACTATGGTTTAGTCAACCTCAATTTACAACTAATGTCATTCCTAGTGTGGGGCGCAGAATAACAGCCCCCCAAAGATGTCTTCGTCCTAATCCCTAGAATTTATGACTGTGTTGATACGTGGCAAGGGGGAAGTATGACTGCAGATGGAATTAAGGCTGCTGATCAACTGACTTTGAGATGGGGAGATTATCCTGAATTATCTGGTGGGTCCAGTGTAATCACAGGAGTCCTTTTAAGTGACAGAGGGAGGCTGGAGGGTTAGAGTCAGAGAGGGATTTGAGGATGCTATGCTGTTTATTTATTTATTTATTTATTTTTTTCGGTACACGGGCCTCTCACTGTTGTGGCCTCTCCCGTTGCGGAGCATAGGCTCCGGACGCGCAGGCTCAGCGGCCACGGCTCACGGGCCCAGCCGCTCCGCGGCATGTGGGATCTTCCCGGACCAGGGCACGAATCCATGTCCCCTGCGTCGGCAGGCGGACTCTCAACCACTGCGCCACCAGGGAAGCCCTATGCTGTTTATTTTTGAAGACAGAGGAAGGGGCCATGAGCCAAGGAGTGCAGACAGTTTCTAGAAGCTCGAAAAGACAAGAAAACAAATTCTTCTCTAGAGCCTCCAGAAGGGGCCGAGCCCTGCTAAAACCTTGATTTTAGCCCAGTGAGACCTAGTTTGAACTTCTAACCTCCAGACCTGGAAGGTAATAAATTTGTGTTGTTTTAAGCCATTAAGTTTGTGTAATTTTTTACAGCAGCAATAGGAAACTAATGCACCGAGTGTAGTATGTTTCTGGATTTTGGTCATTTAACCAAAATCAGTTAACAGTATCTTCTGGGTACCATGACATACAAATAACTGTATGAGGGTTGTTGTAAAAGTATAGAGGAAGTAGGATAAATCCAAACTCCTTACCACTGTCTCAGTGTCTGCATCATCTGCCCCTTCCTGGCACTCCAGCCTTCCTTTATGTTACTTCTCCACAGTCCTGACTCCAGCTCTTCCAGCTTTCTGCTCAGTTCTTCACACTTCCTGCCCTGGTGCTTTGTTCATGCTGCTTTCTCTGCCTTGAATGCCCTTGTTCCAGATCTCCCAACAGCTGCTTTCTTCGCATCCTTCAGGCCTTAGCGTACCCTTTCCTCCTCTGTTATCAGAGCAGTGTATCGTGTACAACTCCAAACCTTAGTGGCTTAAAACAATGACATTTATTTGCTTCTTAGGTCACAGCCCAATGTGTCTGATGCGTGTGGGAATCAGGGATAAGGATGGGCACCCCCCTGTGTTCTACATGGCCACCGAGCCTTTCCCTCATGTGACCCCCACCAACCCCTTGGCCTTCTTGGAATCCCTGCAGGTTCACCTGCTTTCACCCGGTGAGAAATCAAAAAACCTGTGGAGGATTGTTCAGGCCAGGCCTGGAAGTGAGAAGCATCACTTGGGCTCACATTCCCCATGCCTTGTGAGTCTCATGATGATTCCTCATTTATTTTCTCCATAGTACTTTATCCTTAACAATTATTTGCCTCTTTGTTAACTGTGTTCTCTCCACAAGCCCAGAGCTGCGTGAGGATAGAGATCATTTGTTTTGTCATGACCACGTGCACAATACTTGGCGAAACTGGGTCCTGTAGAGTAGTTTACCAATTAATAATAGTTAATCAATGTGTGATGAATGGATGAGCCGATGACCCAACAAATGAATAAAGAGAAAACAGAGCCCTTATCTAGAAGGTATCCACTGTTGTAGCAAAGACAGAGCCAATAGCTCATGGTCTTTTACAATAATTAATTTTAAGAAGCCACAAAAATCTTTGAATTAAAAATAACAGACCTTGTACTAGGGTTCAGAAAGTGTTTGGAGTGGCATGGCTCTTTCCGCAAAGCTCAGTTCTCCTGGTGAGCAGACGGGGAAGGAGCAGTGCTGTGTTCTTATTCTGGTTGATTAATTCTATTGTTGTATTTCTGAGTGGGGTGCAGACCTTTCAGACACCCTCCTAATTCACCTCATCTCCACCCCGACTCCGCTCACAGAAGCCAGATGACTTACTCCTTCCCTTCCCTCCTCTATCAGTATCCTCATAGTGGCCCAGGGAATGGGAGCATACCATTTCAGACGACTGAGTTTTTTATCTTTCTTCTCTTTTCCCTTCCCATTGTCCTTTTCTGGCTTAGTGTGCACCAGGAGTGTATGGCAGTCCAAGAGGCAGAATGCCCAACCCAAGGCTTCCCCTCTTGCAGTGTGAGTAGGGCTCTAAGGAGGGATGCTATGGCATGCTCAGCTACTTTTCCGGGGAGGCTGGGCTGTTGCCTGTCTCCTGGAGGGGGACACAGCGAAGGTCCACCCTACGTAGTTCATTTGTGCGGCTCTGTCTCTGGCATGGCTCCTGATTGGCTGGGCTTTGGGGAATGTAGGAGGGTGAGGGGCCAGAGTGCAGATTCCTGGAATCGCTGGCTAGGCAGGATGCCCCCTACCGCAGATGGGTTTCTCCCATCACCTCATTCTGTCTCCCATGGGGCAGGCATATGTCATTTCCCGGGTAGAGGACCGAGGACTTGTAGTTGGGGTAATTCCTGTGAAGAATACAGTGTGTACTTACTTTGCTTTCTTTCCCTCGCTTTGGCGTTTTTGTGCAGATGTACGTTAAGATGAACACTAAAATCAAGGATGTGTACAAAGATGTAGCAACAGGTATGTTCAGTAATAGGAAAAAAATGGAAAACAACTTAAATGTTCACATAAGGGAGTAGATAAAAATAAATTATGGTACGTCCATATAATGAAATACTAGAAAGTCATTAACATTGATCGTGTAGGAGAGTATTAAATGACATGTAATTTAATTTTTAAAATTCAGGCTATAAAATAGGGGACACCATGTGATCCCATTTTTTCCAATTAAAACATTTTTTAATGTATAATATATAAACAATGAAAACAATAAAGATCAAAATGGGGTGGTTATTGTATATATGATGATAGGTAAATTTTTCTTTTATTCTTAGTACCCAATGGTATTTTAAAAATTTTCTATAACGAACACACATTTCTTTTGTAAAGGGACATAAAAATCTAAACTGTTACTTTACAAATTAGATGGCTAGGTTCCCAAATAAACACTTGTTTCTGAAAAATGACTGTTGACAGAACTTAAAAGAACAAACCAAGTCATTGAAGTGCAATTAAAAAAAGCCCAATAACTTGCTTATCTGTTGTTCCCCAACCTCATCCTGGACCCTGTCTCTCACTTTCCCTCCCACCCACCCGTACTAAGTGCTGAGGCCTCCCCAGTATCTGGAGTGGTGCCATCTCTGGTCACCACGCCCTCCCGTGGCATTCCTACCGCCATTGCCTTAGTTTAGCCCTCTGTCATCTTCTGATGAGACTTGCCTCCAGGCCTGGATTCACACTTGACACCTCCCATACCCCCATCCCCCCACACCCCCCACCTGGCAAAGGGGGACCCTTCTCAGGAGACTCAGCTCAAAGATCACATGTTCTCTGAGTCTTTCCTGACCGTCTCCATTTCTGTTCCCAGAATCGACCCTTCTTTATGCCTCACTCTTTGTTCTGAACTCTCTTATGGAAGCTTTAAATCTCTGCTGCATTTCTTTATTTTATTTTTTATTTTTATTTTTTGCGGTACGCGGGCCTCTCACTGCTGTGGCCTCTCCTGTTGCCGAGCACAGGCTCCGGACGCGCAGGCCAGGCGGCCATGGGTCACGGGCCCAGCCGCTCCGCGGCATGTGGGATCTTCCCGGACCGGGGCACGAACCCGTGTCCCCTGCGTCGGCAGGCGGACTCTCAACCACTGCGCCACCAGGGAAGCCCTCTTTCTTTTTTTAAAGCCACTTTATTGTGGTGTGATTGACATGCAAAAGTTGAATGTATACAGCTTAATGAGTTTGGGCATAAGTATAGAGCCATCACCACCAAGGCCAGAGTCATATCCATCACCTCCCAAAGTTTCCTCTTGTCACTTTACCATTATTATTGTTATTTTCTATTGCCCTTCTTGGCACTTCGTGTTTACACTTCCCCCATGGTAATTTGTGTGATCCTTGCACATCCCCATGAGGGTTATAGCCCCACTTTACAGATGAGAAAACGGAGGCACAGAGAGGTTAAGTAACTTGTCCAAGGCATCACAGGGAGAAACTGACAAGAATGGGGTCATACTCAGGTAGTACAGCTCCAGCATCTCTAATCTCTACACTTTACATATTTAGGTGCTGCTGCTTCTCATATTTATGAGGCCTTTCACATGTCTCTCTTCCTTTACCATATTTGTAGAGGAGGGATCGTGTTTTAAATGTATCTTTCTTTATTTGATGCCAAGCCCAGGGCTCGCATATAGCAATCTCATCATAAATATCGACTGTTTATTCAACAAGAGTTTATTGAGCCTTTACCATATGCCGGGCATTGTTTTAAGCACTTGAAATACGTAGATAACAAAACACATCAAGATTTCTGCCCTCAGTGGGAGGGCAGAGCAGTGACTTAGAGTCTAGTGAAAATGTCAAGGGCAAGTTGGGTAAATGACTCAGGTGTTATTTACATGACATTTTTACTTCGTCTGTATCCATGCTTCACTAGATTTCGTTTTAAATTTGGGGTATAATATAATAATATAATTATTATAATTATATTTATATATAATATATATTTATATTATTATAATTATATAATATAATTTGAGGCAATGACAGTGCTGGAAATTAATACAAATCCTTCCTTTGTCACATGAGAGCTCTGTAATTGATCAAGTGTTAGCGATGTGTCAGTGATCACATCATGACTGCCTGATGCATCTTGATGCTTTGAAATGTATTTTTTTAAACTTCAGTGCATATCTGAAAATATCACCTTTCTCTCGTTTCTTTATGTTCTTCTTTCTTGCTCATATTTTTTACTTTTTTCTGTTTTTCTCCCCTCTTCTCTCGTGAAACCATCTCAGTGCCTCTCACTGCTTCCTTCTGCGCCCGCTGCCTCTGCCCTTCTTTCCTTCTCCCTCTACCTTCCCAAATGTATGTTTTTAACAGTTGATCAAAACTCAGGAAGACGATATGATTTTCTCTTTCAACCTGTAGGATAAAAATGGCAAGGCATTGACCTGATCAAAATTGGTGTCACCAGCAACTATGGATTTCATTTGGGTGCAGAAGAAAGAAGAAAGGCTAGCTCTAGAGGGCAGAATAATCTCATGAGGTAGACTTTATTTCTGTTTTATTAATAACAAAGCAGAGATTCAAAAGGATTAGTTGTCTAAAGTCACCTAAATAATAAAGAACTTGTAAAAGAAAATGTTCTACACTCTGTTGCTTACCACCTTATACAGAGGCGAGCTCTGAGAAAAATTTGCTTTTCCTACCTAGGGGATACATTCTTCTGGGGTCTCATGTATTAAAATGAAATTGAGGTGGTAAGAAACTCAGACTATTCCCAAATGATGGCATTATTTTAAAACAAATGGAGCCTTACAGGAATAGCAATAACCTATTATACTTGCAAAGCACTTGCTTAAAAATGTATCACCGGAATATGCTATTTCTTCATTTTCCCCTGCCTACACTCCAGTCTCCAGGAATGGAAATTACTCATTCCTTAGATTCTACATTAACTTCAAACGGCCATAGCGTGACCATAGGAAGCCCCGGAATTTATCAATAGTTTCCCTGTATCTTGAGCAATCACACAGCCTAGATTTCCAGAACATCATCTTTTGCAGATGTTTTATCAAACCCTGTTCCAAAAATATAGTCAGTATTCCTGTATCTCTGTTAGTCCCCTGTGTTCTTTAAACACTTGCAGTTGAACTTGAGCCTCACTGTATCAGCTCACAGTTCACCAATGACCTGCTCACTGCCAAGGTCAAGCCTTTCCCTCAGCCATAGTGCTTTTCAGCCTTCCTGAGATATATGCAGTTTCAGGGTCAATGCTTACCTTCAGGGTTTTCCCCCAGGAACGAATTGTCACATTTTAAGAAGGGTTGGAGGAAAAATACCCAAACCCCTAGCCTTGAATTTAGTTGATATGAACCCAAGCTGGAAGGATTCCCAGGAAATAGAGGGGCTGTGGACTAGTGAGAAAATCTTCACTAAGCAGGTGGGGCAAATGATTTAATGGCTGAGGTCCCAGAGGTGTCAGCTCAGTCTCGGAAAAATGCAGATGTACCCCTGTTCCCCACCTGAGGCTCCCTGTAGCACCCTACTGACTGCTAAGGTGGGAAGGCACTTTATTTAAGTGACCACTGAACTCTGGGAAAGCAGCAAAGTTAGAGAAGTGCTGTCCTTAGGAGCATAGTACTTGGCCAAGCCAGGAAGCAAAGATTAAGCTTCCTAAACATTAAATCGTTCACTCCCATGATGCTTTACTTAGGAAGATTTCTCTCGGAAACTCTTATTGATACATTGATACTTGATCTCCCCCTCCTCTCCCTTCTGGCTCTTCATGTCCGTACCCTTATTTCCTCTAGGGCAGAACCAGGGGTCTTAAGGTAGTTTATGAGACATAACTCACTGTGGGTGTTTATTATTTTTAGAAATTGTACACAATGAAGAGCTCCTCAAGGTCACAGAGTCCCAACATTCTGTCTGGGGGGTGCCATTCCCTATTTGATTATAGAGTCATTCTGCCCAGCGTCTTCTTGGATTCCTTCTTTTTCATCTGCTGTCCATAGTGCTTTTGCCAGTATGTAAACTAATGTGAACATTAGCCTGGGACAATACCACTTCTGGGTATGTATCCAAAAGAATTAAAAGGAGGGTCTCAAAGAGTTATCTGTATACCCATGGATATAGCAGCATTATTCACAATAGCCAAAAAGAGGAGATCACCCAAGTGCCCATCAATGGATGAATGGATAAACAAAATGTGGTAAATACATACAATGGAATATTACTCAGCCCTAAAAAGGAATGAAATTCTGGCACATGCTACAACATGGATGAACCTTGAGGATATTATGCTAAGTGAAATAAGCCAGTCACCAAAACACAAATACTGTATGATTCCACTTACGTGAGATACCTAAAATAGTCTAATTCACAGATACGCAACGTAAAATGGAGATTGCTAGGGGCTGGGGAAAGAGGGAAAGGAGGGATTGTCGTTTAATGGGTATAGAGTTTTAGTTGTGCAAGATAAAAAGAATTCTGGAGATTGGTTACACAACAGTGTGAATGTACTTAACACTGCTGAACTGTATGCTTAAAAATGGTTGAGATGGCAAATTTTATGGTATGTATTTTGACACAATTAAAAATAAAATTAAAAAAATAATAACCTGGGAAGAGGAATTGGAAAGTTACACCACCAACAACAAAAGTTCAGATAATTCACTGTAAGCTAATACTTTTCAGTAATTACTATATACAGTATACCTGAGCTGAGAGCCAAGAAGGTTATTAAGATAAATACAGCATGGTTCTTGTCCTCAGGGAGATGCTGGTGTGGTCCAGGTTATGAGACTTGCACAGAATATTAATTGAGTGAAAATTCCAAGAAGTGCAAGTTCACATTAGGTACAAGGTAGAACATTTGAGATGATCACTTAAGGTGAACTGAGAAGGACAGGTAGGAATCTAAAGCCAGATAGAAACAGTTTCTTTTAATTACCTGTGCCTGTATTAAAGAATGAATAATTAAGACTTTATGGCCCTTTATTTTTCTGAGTTCTTATAAACTGT